TTCCTATGAAGAGGTTGCTCATGACTAATTCCATATCGACAATACATGATTGCAACATGTGAGAATTGAGAAAGGAAGCTGTCAAGATGGAAAGAAAGAAGACCATTGTGCTGAGAAGAGAGTTGAATCATTTCATAAATGTGATGAAGCAGCACCTCTTGGTGGGTATGAGTAATCGAGCACTAGTGTAAAAGAAAATTTGATGGGAATCATTTTCGTATACTCAGATCCTGCTTCGGTCTACGCACATCCATCTTTATTTGATCTATAATAAGCTCTAAAGTGTGTCTCATCTCCAGCATGAAATATCTTAGAGCATGAATACTGTACTGTTAGTCGGTTTAGTTGTTGTGCCCACGCCTTAGAGGGGGGGGTGAATAAGGCGTTTAAAATCTTTTCGGAGTTTGATAAAAACGGTGTTGGCAAAATGCCGAAGCAATATACAAAACGCAGAAATAAAAGCGTAAATAAAATGCACACCGATTTTATACTGGTTCGGGAAACCCCTACTCTAGTACCTCGAGGCTCCTCCTCAAGGATTTCCGAATCCACTAAGTCCCAGCCTCTTGAACTCCGTCAAAGCACCGCACTAGTTTTGGCAAACAACCCTTGCCAATAGGATTCACTCCGAGATTTCACAACGGCTATCTCGAACCGTTTACAATGAAGATTTAGCGTTATCTTCTACCGTTCCCCCAAGGATTTCAAAGGCTATCCTTGAACCTTTACCCAAGGATTTAAACGGCTATCCTCGACCGATACAATATGAGAATTTAACGGCTATTCTCGATCGTATAAAGATGTGTTTGAAGAACACAAACAAGAGTTCTACACAATGGCTTGAATATAAAAATGAAGAACAAAACTTAGCCGGTGTAGAAGGAAAGTATACTCTCTCAAAAATACAATTCAAACTTATGAATATGAGAGTATATAACTAGAAACACAAGCTCAAAGTGTGTGTATAAAACTCCGGAATTTAAGGCTCTTAAAATAGCCAAAATATTGAAAATAATTAATAAAAGGATGAACACACTAAGAATAAAAAGAGAGGATGTTTAGAGCTTTGTTTCTTGTTGAAATATGAAGGAGGATGAACACACTAAGAATTTAAGGCTCTTTGCTTCTTGTTTCTTGTATTTATAGTGGAAGATGTTAATTAGCCGTTGGGAGGTGATTAGAGTTGATTTAATTCAAAATCTCAAATCAGGAACAGTAACCCAACGGTCACGGTAGGCCGGTACTGTTCACACGGTAGCATGGTACCGTGCGTACGGTAGGGGGGTACAGCGAGTGGCGGTACAGTGTAACACCAAAAATCCATTCGGCTCTGGCGGTACCTAGTTAGGACGGGTTTGGCCAACCGTCTACGCCTACCGTCCGGTACCTAGGTACCGTTACATGGTATGGGGGTACCGTGTAGGCGGTATACCCTACCGTTTGGGGTACCGCTAGGGGTACCGTGCCACTATCCTGATTTTTCCAAAATTCCCTTAATCCTTTGTGTTTGAGTTTAAAACCTTTTAGATGTTTGAAAATGTTTATGAGATGGTTTTAAACATATTTTGTGAGTGCTTTTGAGCTTGTGAATATAGGTATATAAAGTCATATCTTTACATCGGTTTCTACCTATATTCTACGCTAGTTTAGTGTTTCGACTTCATTCTTGAGTACCGAATCTTAATGGATTCTTGTTTTACCTGAAACACTTAAACAAACATTAAGCTCTTATATTGTTTGTTAACATCAAAACATGAGGCTTAGCAAACAAAGGCTAACATGTACTGGTAGCATAAATATTCTTTATTTTTGCAGATTGGATATTCTCAGATGCATCGTCCGAGGAGGAGCTGTTCGAGTGTGGCATGGGCTGACGTGACATAATATAGCACTATTTTATTTGATTAGATCTTCATTGTTGCAATTCTCATACTCTCTTGAATGTTACTCTTTCATGTGTGGCATTGGCATTTTTATGTAAAAAAGGGAGAGGAAAGGTTCAAAACAGTTGAGATTCCCTTTTTTCAAAAAAATGTCAAAGGGAAGATTGTTAGTTCTATTGTGTTCACTTGTTGTTGGCATTATTTTCTGACAAATGAATAAATGTGATTAGAATTATTTATAGCTATTTTAGAAGGTGTTGTATCATCCTGGATGTCATCTTGTGAAGACCTGCAGTTCTCCATGAATCCAGCTGGCATATATATAAACTAGTCTAACAAAATACACCAAAATATGAATACATAGATTTTTACGTGAAGACCCAATCGGGAGAATATTACGAAGTTTTTTTGGCAGTACCTTACCAATGGGGGATTTTTATTATTATCGTGGATATACAAGGTACTTGATTTAGGCTCAGAAGAAGGATATTAAAAACATTAAAAACATGATTGAAGCTTCTTTGAAGAAGAATATTAAAAAAATAAGCCCCTTGCCAACGGAGAATTTTTATTATAATCACGGGCATACAAGGTACATGATTTAAGATTCGAAACTATTAATGGAAGCTTGAAGCTTCTTTTAAAAAGAATATGAAAAACGTATGGAATAGAGTGTGGTTGTGCACGGGAGAGAGTAAATGAGAGGAGAGAGGCCTCCTCTTATATAAGAAATAACCAATCTTTTATAGAATGAACAAGAGTATTATTGGAAAAACATTCTCTTATTCCTCTGATTTGTTCAATAGGCCTGATCTAACTGATCTTCATAAATGATTGGGATCAGAACACTCGCTTATTGCTCTGCCATTGAAAATGTTTGATATTTTATCGTTAATAAATTGAAATGACTAACTAGCTACAAAATAATTTATTGAAAAATTCTTGGTGGATATAATGCATGTCCACCGAATGGATATTTTAATAGTTAAATAAGTTTTTTACTTTGATTACGAAAATATGTCGTAGGACAAGTTCTAGCTTAGAGTCATGTTTACATAGTCACAAGGTCTATATTTTAAATGCAGACCTCTCACATTCTTTAAGAGCTTTCATGTGGGTATTTTTTTTCAAAAGGTCAACTTCTTTAATGCTACAAATGGACTAAGGTCCATAATGTTGGACATGAGTTCAAACCCCTTTATTATTTTTCTGAAATATTTTTGTTTTGATAAATGACAAACAGGATGATGAAATTCAAACGATGATCGAAAATTTACTTTTCGTACCGAGAAAAGAAAAGAGGCGTATCAAGAAAGTTACGGGATAAAAATCAACGGTCCCCCAACGCAGTTTTTCGAAGTGATGTGAAGACTCCGAAGACTTTTTAATTTTTATTGTGTCTAGGATTCTTGTAAGGATGACAATATCTTGTGCACAAAACAATTTAATTTCTGAGGGATAAAAATTTTTTTTGAGTCAGTTGAAAAATCATTTTTTCTCTGTCTAAAATATTTTAGTGAGTCAATCTCAAAATAAGTGTGTCAAAATTTCTTTAAACATTTTCTTAAAGTTACACAATTTTCTTTGGTGAGAAAAATATACTTTAAATTTTTTTTCGTGTATTGTTTGACACACAAAATAATTTTTGGACTCTCTTTTTCTCTCCCCTACTCAAATTCATTGAATAAGGGAGATATAATCGTAGGAGCGCCTTCTTATTCTCGTTGTCCCAAACAACTAGTTAGAAGCCAAAGTGCTTCCAATCGCACTTGGCTTGGGCCCTTTGTGTTTGCGCATTATTTTCATTTTAATCGATTATTTCCTTTAAAATAATCGATTAGATCCAGCGCAATTTCTCAGGTTTGAATTCTTAATCGATTTTTTCTCTAAAAAAATCGATTAGCTTGGACAGAACCTCCTAATCGATTTTTTGCTTCATTTTAATCGATTTTTAAGCCTTT